TCTGTCCTGTGATAGATCATGCGTAAAAACCAATCAAATTGCATTTTTGTTTCAGTTTATCATATAAAGATATATTGATTAATTTTTTTAGGGAAACAAAAAGAAAATCAGGGCCAAGATCATTGAATATTTTGTAGACGTGGCCACCGAGTGTTATGACAAAGGAAACTTCAATTCAGCCATGGCCGTTATTGGTGAGAAAATTATTCGTTTGGTGTATGGCCTGATGTCCAATACGTAATTTATTTCTGCCTGCGTTTACCACGGTATTTTGTTGGGGATGCAATTATACCTAAAAGTTTTCTGAATGTTTCCTTACCTGTATAATGAATTATAAATGCAATTATTTCATAGCAATGATGACATTTGAAACGCTGTTTCGATTCACTGATTAGAGCAATATTCAAAACAAACTCGTATATTCCCCTTCATTCATAGCCGGATTGAACATGAGTCCTGTGACAAGACTAAAAAAGACGGTGAGATTCTTGAATACTTTGTTTTACTTTTTCGGTTTTGACTCCTTACAACTGGTAATTCCGGATCACTTTCGAGTTTCTTACTTTATGATCCCATTAGTAGTGCAGAAATAAGGTTGTAGTAGAAGAAACAGGGTCGTAAAGTTTTAGTTATCTAGCATCTAATTTCTCCTTACAATTTCACCTATAAATCAAACATAATGGTAAAGAGAATAAAGGAAATGATCACTAACTGTAAAAGCTCTTGATTATTGAACCAATTCTTCTTTTCAGCGCCTTAGAAAATAAAAAGGGTACAGTATGGTGAATATGCATTCTGATGTTAGGGTTAATTAACGAAACTTGTGCTCGTTTATAGTGGTCCAGAGTAAAGTGTAGAAAGTTTGACAGACTTGAACGCGAGATGAACCCGGCTTCGAACTTTGCTTGTTATCGAGCGATGTTCAAAATGGCTGTTGAGAGCACCGGGGGTAGGGTGAGTAGCATTTTGTCTTTGTTATGCAAAGAGAGACCAATGGGTTACCTCAACGATGAATCTGAGCAATTGTTCCTGATTTTTTTTTTTTTTTTTTTTTCAGTTTGAATACTCCATTCCTTTCTTCAGCCTGTTTGTTAAAGATGTTTATTTTCTCAACGAGGGCCACTCAAACAGGTTTGAAATAAGTTTCTTTAATGTGCATAATTCATACTTTTTGCCAACGTGATTTTCGGCGTTATCTACTTTATATGTAATTATTGATCACAACTGGATAGCCAACGGTGCTTTTCTTTCAATATTCCTTCGCAGACTTCCAAATGGACACATAAATTTCGAGGTAGAGACATCATTTGTATCCATTTCTCACCTACCTAATTTCCATAAAGCCTCCTAATCGATAAAACGTTACTCACAGATTATGTATTCAGTACTTTTTCCTTTCACTGTAACGTACAAAGGGTGAAGAAAGTCGGCGGGAAGATCAACTTTGAAGTTTGCTTACATGTATATCAAAGTCGATAGCTAAAGATTTTAACCTCTACACTGTCGTCATTTCTGTCGTTTGCTACTCTTCCCAGTCCCGCTTGTGGTTATCACGGTTGTAAGTTTTTCCTTATATTTAATTTTGCTTTCTGGCTTTGCAGAAATTCTGGCAGCTATCGAAACTGATAACAAATTTTGTAACATGGAAGGAGGCAGCTGTAAGTTACTCACTTTTCTTTCTTTCTTTCTTTCTTTTTTTTCTATGAATTCCTCTCCCTGTGTCACTTTTCGCTTTTCTTCTCTTTGTTCCCTTTTTCTTCCCTCTCCTCCTATTCATCAATTTATTTCTCTTGAATCACTCTATAATTAATTTGAACATTCATTGTCAGAGATATGACTCTCTTGCAAAAGTAATTAATGGAACTATAACTGTGAAGCCATAGAGATGATAGAAATTAGTTTATTCGTATATTTTTTCTATATTCTCAGTGTAAATATGATCGCAGCAGGGCTGTTTTGAATTACTTGATGACTGTCCCAGTGTTGTCTGAAAAGAGTAAGTTATAAATAAAATCTACCTGTTTTTCAGCTGGTTGTTTGGGAGAAAGACGTCGGGAATGCAATTGATTTTCCTATCATTATGATATCAGTCTAGACATCAGTGAATTTGATCAACTATCATTCGTAATCTCATATCCCTTTAAGTCCGAAGGTCTGATTGTTCATTCTCCCCTCTGGCTGCTACACATTTATTTGCAAATTAGTTGTTGATCCTGTCACTGGTCAAGTGTGCTCACAACAGAATCGTGAATGCGATGTTTTGTCGTGTCCGGGTCTTTGGTTACTGATCGCTTTTTTGATTTGGTGCATTCAATGCATCGCCAACCCTGTTTGTATGTGGCAATTTGACTTTTTGAAAATCATCCTCTCACCTTACACTGTGAGCGGCCTCGTCTGTTTTTGTTAGCAGTAGATGAGGTTTCGGAAGTTTTCTTTCGATTATTTGTTTTAACTTGATGTCCCTGATCAGTGTTAAAATTTTTATATTTAGATTTAGCTTTGATGTCGTATGAATGTGAAGCACCTGAAACACAGTTCGAGAAAGAAAGACGCAAATCTCTAAGGTAAGTTCTGACGTAATCACCACAGTGCCTTCATCTTGTCACCATTGCAAAACTTTATTTGAATTGGTGCTCCAACCCAAAGCACTTTTCTCGTTTTCAACTTGGAATGATACCTTTGTTGTATCTCGTTTATGTCTAAAGAATGAAAAAGCCTATTTCCCAACAGTTTCGAGACTTTTTTTCTACTTTGTTTTTTTATCAAAGTTGCGGACGACTCTTTTCTGTTTCCAGGTGTGAAAGAAATGCGGAGAGAAAATGAAAAGACATTTCCTGAAAGTAAATGTTTCGAGGCATTTGTATTTAAGTAAGCGTTTAACCTGCATCACAGTGTAATCGAAAACCAAAAAGGAAAACCCAACCAAAAAAGTAATAAGTCTAAACTTAGAGGAAACTGCATGAAATAATTAACCTCCTGTGCAGTACATCCAGACTCCTTTGCCCAAAACTGTATTTATTTTTTTCCTTTTTTTCGGATTTATGTGCCTTTTGATGGAAAAACACCCATTCCAGTTTTAATAGATCCCTCACTCAAGCTTAAAAAAAAACACGTGAATTGTATTTTATTGTTGGGGTTGTAAACTTCTATAAACTATCGTCATTGCCTAAAACGCGTTGAATTACGAAGCAAATGAGTTGTTTTTCTCACTTTCTGTTTTCGAACGAATTTTGTAAATGAAGGTAGTGATTGACTTTTCGTGTGATTGATGTTATATCTGAATATACTTGCAAGAGATGCAACATACTCGAATTTTCAATATTCTAAAAATAATTTCTTATTCTTATTGTCATATATTACCAGAAGTGTTTAAAATGTCCGCTAAGAATTCAATTTGACTTCGTTCTGATAGTTTTTAAGATGTATAGAGTAGTCTAATATTTAAAAAAATAGACTTTTTGCTATGAAAGGTTCAGAAGAAGCTTTGTGCAGAGTTCATTTTCAGAAATATTACAAAATAATAAAAAAATAGTTGCTGAATTTCTAGGATAAGTGGTAAGTTTTATACATTGCAAAAGTTGATGTCATTTATTTGCACGTAGGTTGTAGAAGAATGAGCGCCTATTTTGGGTGAAACTAGTTTTTAAATTTTAAAAGTTATGAAGAACTCAGAGTTCATTGAGTATTAACCGTAATTTATTGATTATTATCATTCGACATTTTCACTTGCGTGAGTGAGCGTTGGTTAGTGATATTTCTATTTATTTCTATTTATTGTTAGTAATTAATTATTTCAAGTATCGTTATTTATTTCTGTAGCAATTAAGATTGTTTAAAAGTTTCAATTAAATTACAAGCGTGAACGATCTTTGGTTTCTTCTAAGTGTGTCTAGATGCTAACTCCTTACAATATCACCCCTGAAGCGCACACCAAGGTCACGAAAATAGAAGGAATGATCGCAAACTCGAGAGGCTCCCGATTGATAAACAAATTCTCCTTATCAGCATCATTGGAAATGTACAGAGAACTATATGGAGAATATGCATACTGGTGAAGAGGGATAATTGCTGACGAGAAAAAAAGGAAGGCTCTCGTCATGCGCATTGCTGTGATTAGGTGACTCGGTGATGTGGCTGTAACCGGTAAAGACGAGTGAAGCAACAAACCTCACTTGTCGGATAACTTTGGAATGGTTTCCATGAGGTGCGCCATTAATAAGGACATTTTTCACACTTAAGATGTAGACTCAAGTAGAAATTAGTCGCAGTCCTTTTATTTTCACATCGTTTTCATTCAATTTGCGTTAAATTGGCCATATCCTCGGCAAACAGGCAAATTTATAGGAAGATACAAAATTTTAATTGTGATGTGAAAAATTAAATTATATGTTTTTTTGTAATTGAGATTTCTTGTAAAACACATTTGGCACATTTGGTTGAATGATCGGATGTACTTCGGTTATCAAGTATGATTCTAAATGCTGTTGATCGTAAAATAATTACTAGTGCACAAATAACATGCAGTATCAATATGATCAACAGCGCATGACTACAATAAAGAAATCCTCAATGATATATCCACCCTACAAATGAGTTGATGATTAACGTAATGTATGAAATTACATTTACATTTCAAATTATATTGTACAACATCATTTTTAACGTTTGTGTTGAAGGAATTATTCAGTTGAATGATACGTCAGCTGCAAGTAAGCTTCAATCTCTTCACAAATGATTCCGAGATTGCATCGTCTTAAAATACTAGGAGACCAGTCATTCTTTTATTGTCTGAGGGGAGTGGGGTGGATGATTTTGAGGGGGATCATGGTTTTCAGGGAGTATCGGAAGGGGGAATTAATCGTCGTCAACAGAATGTAAAGGGATGAATATGGGGGGGTCATAAGATTATTGCAGAGCCTACCCCCTACCCCCTACCCCTTACCCTCTACCCCCTACCCACTACCCCCTACCCCCTACCTCCTACCTCTTACCCCCTACCCCTTACCCCCTAACCCCTACCCCCAGGCAACAAATAATAACCGGTCCTAAATTATTCGTCAGTTGCAAGTCAGTTTGAGTCTTTTCTCAACTAAGCACGAAATTGCGTCGTCTTAAAATGCTTCCGGTAAAATACTTAAGCTGATTAGGTTGTTGCGTTGCTTTCCTTTTTTCTGTCTTTGATGTGTTCCCCCCTCTTCATTGTTGTGAAGATCTACTTCATTGGCATGGCCACAGTCTTGGAAGTCCTCTGACTCATCCTTAGACGGAACTCCATGACAAGGTACGCAATTACAAAGGTCCCCAGGAGAGCGAACCAAACGGCCCATGCTGCAACAGGGGCCACGGCCAGAAGGAGGCCCAGAGAGATGTTGATGAGGGCCAGAATGAGACCAAGACGACCGATATTTTTGTGGACTAATTCCCAAATGACTCTGCCAGTCGACCTCGAGCCATCAGGATGTTTGTGAGGACGCCTGAAAGAAACATGTCATAAAATAAATATTCTTCTAAATTTTTGTTTGTGCTTCTCAAGAGAAATAATCACCCTCCCGTTTCCAATACTTATTCCAAACGAGTGCTACCAGACATAAGTGTATACCACAGAAGTAAATATCGCTTTTCGCACGCGCTGACTGGCTAGTGCGGAGGTGAATGGCGAATAATATTCACCTTCACTTTGGTGAATAATTGTTAATTACTTGGGACTTGCGAATTGAAGGTAAGGCATAGTGCTTCGTTCGGTCTTTGTTGCCTTGACAGTTTAAAGCTGTTTGTAATTTTGCTCAATGACGAGCAAAGTCACCATTTGTAATATTTTCATTTATGACCTATTGCTCGTTCAAAGATACTTACACAGCGGCATTTAAAGGTTGTCCCACTCCAATAATCATAATAATTATACCCAGTGCTCCATGAGCGAACTTCAGATGATCAAATGGAACTGATATAAAAGCGCAAATAAGGCCAGCAATCGTCAACACCAAACCTGTCACCTGAAATATATAAGGATATATTTGTGTTATTTTTAAGTCTGATTGGATTCAAAATCAGAGAAAAACAACTCCTTTGTTTTAAATTTGCACTGACGACCTATATTGTGCTCTGAAAGAGGACTAAGAGGGTAAGGGATCATGGGAACAGCTTAAGTCGAGGAAAATCCTGTCATGAGTGAGCTTAGGGCTAAGAGCACTCCCTTTTCCTCAGACATTCTCCAAATCTTGTCTGGCAAGAATTTTTTTGCTCTTTGTAGTTTACCTGAAGACCGCGATGCATCTTAAACCACCATGGGTCCTTGTGCCTAAAGTAACGTGCAATGAAGGCTCCGGCTTGAAGAAGCACTCCCCAACCAATGAACATGAAAATACCATGTAGCGCTACCAGATTGAAATCTGACGAGCCACATCCACCAGCAGATGGGTTTTTATCAGCTTCAGCTGCTGTTCCCTCTAAAAGCCAGATGTCGTTTAATAAACCATCACCGCTAAAGAAAAAATTTAACAGTTAATGACTGTATATAAGGGTAACTGGAGATTTCGCCTCATTGCAAGTTCGCCTCCCAACCACCTTTGCGAGTTTGCTCCCTGATGTAAAAGGATTTCCCACCCACCTTTGCCAGTTCGCCCCCAAATCATTCAACTCGTTTCTAATGGTGCATTGGTTTAATTTGCGTGTTGATCGACCTTCGTTCTGGTTTCGCTGTTAAAACGTATGTTGGTGGAAACGTATCACGTTTTGGAAAAATTAATACCTTCTGAGCTAAGGAATCGAATAGAAACTTATCGGGGCGAACTGGTAAAGATGGGGGCGAACTTCTGTTACTTTATGGAGCAAAGCAAAGGTTGTAGGAAGCGAACTTGCAGTGGAACGAAAACACTACAGACCTAAGTAAAGAGTACAATTCAAAGCCCTTGTAACATTTAAGTGAGAGAGATTACCTCTTCGTGACTAACCCCAGTTTGCTCTATATTTGCACCATTATCTTGCTAATTATTGGATATAAACTCCGTGAGAAATACTCCAAAAGAGATAAAAAATAACTCGTTCTTTAGTGAACAGACGGTAAACAAAATGAAGAAAGATTGAAGAACGATGAAAAGAGCAAGATGGTACGAAAGAGGTTTTCAAAATACACTAAAATGGTTTAAAAAATACTTACTGACTTTCTCCGGAAATTATTTTATCGGAAAGAAGAGAGCAGACTATAAAAATTGCATCGAAAGTTAATCCAGAGAAATCAATTTCTTACTCGGATCCCGAACCGCCAAACAACACAATCCCGCTATCAGTCGTCGTCATCACATGACCAACTCTTCTTGCCGGTGGAGTACCCTGCAAAATTGCATATAGTTCATAATTATCGAAATTGTTGCAGAAAAAGTACTCCCTGTCCAAGGTAACTTATGCTGGCCGTTATAAACAAGGTTTTTCCCTCTTCCCTAGGTTAATTTTTGTTTGGTTGAGAGGTTCTGCCGAAGCAGAATCACCATAACTGGTATTCTACAACTCATTCCATGGGAGGACGGAAGAAGGAGAAATGGGGAGCAATCTTAAGATGGGTCTTTAATGAAAGGAGGAGTGCTTTAGGAAGGTGTCTCTTTTCAAAGAAAAAGTAAAGGGATAAGACTTGGATAGATATATATTTCAGGAAAAATTGCCATATTCTCCATAATATTTCATGAATATTATGACAATATTCGACCTGCAAAAACTGACAAATTATTTAATCTCCTTCTCCATACGGTATACCAAAATTAAAGTCACACTCCACAATCATACAGGTATGGACCCTTAAGACCAGTTGAGAACCCTGCGCAGGACATACATGTAGGGAAACTGTTCATGTTAAAAATACACCATACTTCCATTATGCAGCGACGCAAATGTCACTGGTTTGTAGGGGAAGAGCGGCTCTTCGAGGGTCTAACTTCAAATTCATTTGATAGATTTACACACCTCCACTGTTTTTCTTTCCCACTTATTTGTATCAGGATTAAAGACAGCAATCTCATTTGCCTCGTAACGTGACGTCTACATGTAATGGAAAAGGAAAATACTCTATCATTAAGATCACTCAGTCAGTGGACTTATCAAAACCAGTTATAACTAAATAGAATAGCGAATATGAGCAGTTTTTTATTGTTAGGAAAGCAGAATTACAGTCTTAGAATGCAAAACCTAATTCAACTATGAATACATATAATTTCACTTTAACTGTGGCCCTTAAATCGTCATTAACTCGCCCCTTTGCGGAAAAAAAACATACACTAGTGAATAACTTAATTGCGAAAAAAAAAAAAGGGAAAAAGATAACTGAAATAAAAAAGTAAAAATGCAACTATTTAAGTTTGATATTTACATACCACCAACACAGATTTGCTTGTTTCCTGTCCAGCGTACAACACAGCTCTACGTTCACTACCATTCAGTGGTGGTAACATGGCCATTGCGGAGTACATTCGAGGTGTTGAACATTCCTCCAAGCGAGTCCACTCTGTTTTGGTTGCATCGAATTTCCAGTTATCTTTGGAAGGACATGAGCCACCTGTCATCCCACCTCTGAAGGAAAATCAAATTAGTCGTAAAGAAGAAAATAACTTTTATCGCTAAAATGAGAGTGTAAAAAGTTTAAGAGGAATTCAACGAAGGAAATGTAGTCATCGAGGACAAAAAAATTTCTGCAATAACCATGAGTATTGTTCACTCAGGCCTTATTTTCCCTAATGTACAGGGAATACATATTTAACGCATGCATTTTTTTTTTTGAGAAATTAAATTCTCGCACCTCATAGGCCCGTAGCCAATTGACAAGTCAATGAAGTATGGACGATAAAAATGACGTCATGCACGCAACACTAATACGGCTAAGAATTTGTTCGCACTCTGTGTGATCGTTTAAAAAGAAAACAACTTTTGCTTATTTTTTTTGAACAGGGAATGCTTTCACTTCTTTATTTAGAAGTAAGCTTGAGACTCTGCCAAGGTTTGTTAAGTCCATGAAAGTACTTTGCATTTCAAATTTGTGTATTTGTGTATAACAGCTGAGGTTCAGAGAACAACGCTAAAAAATTTACGAAAATAGTTTTCACGCTGTCTTTCTTTGTTTGGAATAACTCTAAAAGTCTTGCATGTTACAAGCTTGTGTCTCATTGTTTCAACTAAGCCCTTCTTTAATCAATTGAGAGTACTGACAACGGAAGGGAGTGCCCAATGAGTGTACTTTACTTTTCCATGCTTAGATTCCATAAATTAAAACAACAGGTCTTGAAAAGCATTTGCCGAATCCTACCGACCCAAACGAAGCAGGGCTCATCCTGGTAAACCAGCGTCACCCAATTAGCATAGTGTTAAGGAGACATATATAAATATTCCATTTCCAAACTCTTAATCAGTTGAACTTCGATGTTAATACATTTTCTCAGCGGTACACTATCCTCTGTTTATTTTTAAAACTACAATTACACTTTTCATAACTTACCCCAAACAACCTCCATACATTACTAGCTCATCAGGCTTCGTCAGTGTTCCTGTGTGTAAGCATCTTGCATGTGGATAATTTGGATTGTAATTATTTGAGCCGGAAAATTTCTCCTCCCATTGATTTTTTTCCAAGTCAAATTTCAGAGTGTTGGAGTATCGAGTGCCTGAGAAACCATGCGTGATGTAAAATCCGTTGACTCCTCTGCCGTCGTCAAATATTCCTCCAGCAGATCCGTATCGCATTTGAGGTTTTATGTTAGAGTTATCACTGAGCCTTTTCCACTTTTCTGTGTCAAAATCAAACTTCGCAATATCATCGAAGAAACGGCGTTTTGAAGAATCACCTTCTCCCGAATATTCACCGGTGGATATGTAAAAAGCGCCTCGTCCATTCTCAGCGCCGTACACCATACTGAAACGTTTCTCAGGGATGGAGTTGTCGCTGCTCGCTATTAATAGTTTCCATTCGTTAGAAGTTAAATCAAAGCTCCAGGTATCTGCAAAGTTGTCCTGACCCGCTCTGCCACCGAAAATAATCAAGCGATTTTTTTTTCGGTCAAATCCGATCGACGAATCTCTCCGAGGCTTAGGAAACGGGTCTGAGTCATTGGTCGCTGAGAGCAAGCGCCATTTGAGCTGCGAGTAAACAGCCGTTACTAGCAACAGGAAAATGAGCGGTCTTAACATTTTAAAAACCGTCGAAGCAATAAGAAACCGAGATACAGAAATGTAAACTTTTATAGTCACCTAGCCAAATTTGCATATATTAACAACACGCGATTTTATGACAGTTACGTATGTTCGTCGTGACACACGTCACAGTGACAAGGCAGAAATTCTATAACATGGGAAGACGTGTTGACAAAACAACCAATAAAATGCAACAATTTATGTGGTTATTCTGACAACGGATATTTGATTTAAAAAAAATCGGCAGAATGGATTTAAGTTCATTACTCTCACTGTTAGAAAATATCGAATGGGAAACCTCGTTATACTAATGTCAGCTCGTAAAGAGGCATCTTGCCAGCCATGATTTATAAACGAATAAATTAGACTTTCTAATTCAATAGATTATTTTTTGTATTAATAATATCATGTCTGTCTCGCTAGAAAGAAAAATTTTGTATTTATATTTCTTACGTTAGACACTGTCGAATGAAGGCATGTTTTTGTTATGGTAACGGAAAAAACAAGGCTAGAGGAAATTGTAAGTTATTAATATGCAAAGTCATCATAGGTTGGACTCGAAGCAAATATTTTCCTTATTTGTAAACATTCTACTTAAAGGAGTAGTTCGAACAAATGCCTCAGTTTATTGATGAAAATGTAATGTCATCGTTAAAAGTGAGCGCTTCGGCAGTCTTAATTCCAAGATGGCTCGTTGTTTCGAAGGGTCACAGGTAACTAATCATCCTGAATTACTTGCGCATAACGTTCATATACATGACGAGAAAGAAAAACTCGCCAAACGTTCAGTTTCGTGGAACTGGAGCGAATGACATCGTTAATCATCAGACACACAGAATTTTGTGCTATTAATTGTGTCTGAGACTATAAGTAGCTTTGCATTGAAACGTCGACCTATCCTGGATAAGATTTAAGGTGTTGGACCGTCTGTTAGTTATGGGAAATATAATATATGATTTTATTCATTAAGAGTTGGTTTTGGTGCTGACACTTAAAAGAGCCAATGTTACAATTAAGTTATGTAAACAAGTAACGATAGATAGGGTTGAAACGTATGGCATATAACAAACCTAAAGTGGAAATGTTTTGGTTTATTTTGCGAGACAACCACCCAAATCGTGATCTAGATCATCTCTGATATTGAGCGAGTTTAGAAAACCCACAAAATACATCCTTTGGCTCTGTACATCACTAATCAGTGCATGCGCCGGTTTCCACGTTTAGAAACATTTGATTGTCGTGACAAAACGTTTGACAAACAAGTCTATTTCAAATGACGACTAAATTAGGAATTTCTGACTGCTTTGATATCTTAAGTGCTGCTGTTCATGCACAAGATAGCTTAGTGTACGGGCACAACTTTATGCAACAAAATTAACGTTGAACAGCACGGAACAAGCAACTACTTTAATTTGAGGAGGTCGTTCGAAGGTCAAACAACTCATTTATTTACTTAAGCCTTTAAAACTAGCGACGAATTTGAAAGAGATACTTGGATTTAAGTGGCGATGAAGTGTTATCCATATAAACCTATTATGACGTACACTGCTACACCCAGAATCACTAGATCATCAGATGACCTTTTCACCTTCAACAAAAGAGTATTAAAAAACATGTAGACAGTCCTGTTGTGCATGTGCGAGCATTATGTATGTTTGATTGAATTCGGTGAGGAGAGTAAACAAAATGAAATATTAGAATACCTTAGCTTAGTTTGAAATTGAATGACGTTCGTATATTGATATGAATTTGATTTACTCACGATAAAATGACAGACTTTTAACTTCATTTATCTCCGAACAACTTCTACGCGACAATCAATGTCCGACCACCCATCCCTTGGGATTTCTGCGCCTTTCACCCCTCTCCTGTGGAAAATTGCTTGTCATACTTCATTTTAGCCGATGATCTGACCTGCCCGGCGAGTGCATTGGAAATTGGGTCGGTACTGCTCTGACCAAGTTTACCAATCTGTCACCAATCAACAACTCTTTTAAGCCGAATACAAGCCAATTCTCCCTATTCATGGTAAGTTTTAATATTCCCATGCCACATTTTTGCTTTGATTTCTAACTTGCATTGTTTGGTCTTCCACGGCCCCTCTTTGGCTTTGGAAGCTTTGCCTTTGTGCACATGGCCTATTTAGTTACTTCCATTCTCTTAGTGGTGTTTCTTTTAACAAACTATGTTTCTCTAAGAGTACAATCAAAATAAACCTGAATTTCTTAGGTTCTACATCATTATCATTTTTCTGTTACCTTTATACTTATCTTATTCATTTAATATAGATTTATATTTTTTTTCTTTTGGAGGTATTTTGATAGCTAAATTATAGAGTTAATGTCCCTCTCTAAGCTACTGTGGACGCAATCAACGAAACAGATTTTTAAAAAGATGAAAAAATTGTTGCTGCTGTATCACTTTTTAATGATCTCTATTAGTGTCACACTCCCCCCCCGCCACGTTCAACTGGATACCAGTAATACTAATCGGCTGTACTCATCTACAATAGAATTTCATGCTCTCTAGTGAATAGGATTAAAACTTCCACCCCCCACCCTCCAAGAAAAGGTAGCAACTTTTTGAGGAAATAAAGCAATTTTCCCCAGTGTACCATGCATTGCACGTGCCATGCATGTCTCGGCGATAAAGTTCTTTATCTGACCTCTTTTGTTTTAACACTATTTATATTAAGGCCTAACGAATATTTTGTTTTATCTCCAAGCATCAATGGTAGATGACAGGTGCCTTTTTATATCTTTGTATTTTTCGATTTCTCTTCACTCCTAACTCTTAGCAAATCAAATATAAAATTATTCATTTATTATTCACGTATTGAAGCTGCTTTGTGTTATGGAAGCCCATGGGATACCCTTCTTTTAGTGTCAACATTTTTTTACCTCATCTTTTTCTAAACAAACATCCGTCACGGGAAATGTCTTAGCCTTTAAATATTGAAAAAAGCTTCCCTTATGAGATACAAAGTGTGTCATGTTGTGGCCATTTTCGAGAAGAGAGAGGACCGGATGTAGGCTAATGTCTTCTTCATAAGTCTAAATGGCAAATCGTCTCTATTTCATTGCACTCTCTGGATTTTAGAGTAATATTTGATGAAATCAAACACTGCGCTTTTCAAAAAATTGCTCTTGACGTCTTTGATTCACCGCGATTCATAGACGTCAAGAATAATTTTTCTAAAAGTGATGTAATTGATTACTTCAAAGACTACTATGAAAATCTATAGAATACATTGAAATTGAAAAAGCTTTTTTCCCTTTTTTCTTATTCTTTCTTACACTCATACAATTGTATTGAAGCACACTCTACAAATTCAAACACTCATTTCATCCACCCGAGCCATAACCACGCCTTTGCCTTTCATACCAATGTTACAATTCAACGTATTTCATCAGTAGTCTAACGAAAGGTTAACGCACCTGTCCAAATAGGTATACTTTACCGACAATGGCTCTGAGATACAACAAAGACTTATACGCCTTCTGTTTGTGTCATTGTCAGGCCTAAATTAATCAGCCGGTCCGGCTGAGGAAATCTCACGATAGTTTCAATTAAAGTGAATAACAAAGATAATGTTTCCACTTACCCTGTGAAAAATTCAATCTATTTGTAAAATAAGATGACTCATTTCCTGAAATGATAATAATGTTTCATTCCTTATTCTCTTTCCAGGTTCTCTTGTTTAAAATTTGAGTATGCCCTTTTTTGCTCACTATTCAAAATTCTATGTAATGTCCTTTTTTTTTTTAGAGAGAGAGGAACAGAGCACAACCCTGTAAATAGTATATTGATAGCTTTCTAACTTTTTGATATTAGAGAAAAGTCATTGTCCAAGTATTCTCGTCTTCATAATCACTGATTTTTCATCTTAGAAGACGAAATACTGACTTAATGGAGTGCTTGGGTTTTTTTCACTTCAAAGGTTTTTAAAAGCCGCGAATAAGAAAGCCATGTGGCAACACTACTGCGGTTTTGATTAAGATTCTTATGGCGAAAATGACAAGTAATTATTCAAACTAAGCGAAGCAGTGTCATTATATTTACGAATGCGATTTTTCTCTTGAAGCGAATTCTTTGTATTGGAGTATGGTACAAAATCCTTTTCATAGGCCAAGATTTATTAAAGGGATAGTTCGCCTTTGGATTACTATGTGGGACCAAAGCCAAAATGATCAAACGCCATACTTGTCTGTAAAGCTGTTTTTTCACCTCATTGAAGTTTCTCTGCTGCTGCACGTGATTGAATCTTTATCTAGTTAAAGAATTGCACCCTCTAAGCACTCCATGGTTTTCGTCATACACAAAACGTTAAGCCTCTCGACAGAACATATGGCACTCTGCATTTACCCATGCTTTTTAGCTATTCGCTGGCTGGCAGCGTGAACATTGACGTTTGCATCACTTAGATATGAAGATTCTCTTCGCAAAACAACTTCTTTCAATGCTTTTCGAAAATCCTTTTTGGCCAATGTACACAGGATGGGATTCAACATGGCAGGCACGAAGTTGAGAAACACAAGCAGGCGCTGCACCCATAGTGGCAGTTGAAAATCGATTGATTCCGTATGTTCATCAAGCACTGTTAGGAAGTACGGCGACCAACAGCCAGCGAAGATTATTAATGTTATTAATAAAACACTACGTCCTCGCCACTCGTGACGTTGTGGTCGAAAACGCTGCCGGAGATCCTTATTCAATTTGCGATCTGTTTGATGACGCATAAATGAAATATAAAATATGTTTCCATAGATATAGCACATCAGTATCAGAGGAAATGCAAAGAAAAACGCTATACAAGCCAGACTGTATTTGATATCAATGCTTTCTGTTTCGTCGTCAATTGTTGTCAATGTTTCCTCATCAAAACTGTGCCAAGACATTTGAATAGTTGAGGCTCCAAATGCAATCAGCCATACAGCCACAATGGCAGCAATTCCTCTGCGATTTGATACAAGAGAATGATACCTCATTTGATGAATAATGAAAATGTAATGGTCACAAGCGATAAGCAGAACATTACATACCGAAGAAATGGCTGTAAATCGAATGAAGATTGTAGACAGCACACAAACAATGAGAAAATCTCTTGTTAAACATATAAGAGCGAGAGGAATTCCCACCAGACCAGATAACAAATCAGACGTGGCCAAAGAAGCAAGAAACATGTTAGTAGGTGTTCTCAGCGTCTTCTTTTTGTGAATTAAGATGATCACCAAACCATTTACCGCACTAATCAGCAGGCACATGAAGGACAATATCACAGTCAGTGGCCAAGGGAAAAAAGTTTCTTCATATTCAGTTTCAGAAGATTCATTTCGTGAATCATTGACTTCGCAGCTTGAGTTACGCACACTAAACGCTTCCATTGCTTGGAAGATGAAAAATCCGTGGACTCCGTTCTGCGTTTTAAATTATTTGGGTGAGCAGATTCGTCTATTTTTGGAAATAGCTGATACGTGACTTTTATCAATTAATGTCAAGGCGAATGGAAAGTTATATTAAAAGGAAACGCTTTCTAAGCGGCAATCTGCGAAAGGAGAAATTAGCGAATTAGAAATTAAAGTTAAGAACATGCGCATTGCATAAATACAAATCCCATCCTTGGCAAATAATGAACTTGAGATTATTTCCTCACTACGGTCACTCGTACTTTACTTTTTCAAGGATAACGCATTGGTGAAGTGAAGACAAAGAATAAAGTTCAATTTAAATTTGTGCGACATAAAATGGACATATTTTACTGAGTGGAGTCAATTGTGTTTTAGGTGCCATCTTAGTCGCTATGAAATATCCGGAGCGGAAAGCATCCATTAGGATTTACCATTCTGTCAATCACATCACTTGAAAAGGCATTGTAAGAGCAGAAACTTCCCCTCACGCGCGTTTTCCCCGGGATTTTCTTGTCTTTGTTTTGATTATCATTTATAATATTATAATTTATTATTTTCTTATGGAACAACATAACTTTTTAGGGATCATGCACTCTGTAGTGACTAAAGGGACGCTTGATACATCAACATCGAAAGAAGATCCTTATTTGAAGAAGTCGGAAGCATTTCACTAAGTTGAGCGAACGCTTGAGGCGCCGGCTGTGAAGCGGAAAGATTTCTCACGCTCGACAAAAATGAATTAAATAAGTCAATTGAAGTCTTCTGCAACTAACTGCATGGCGGTTAAGATTTTACTTGACCAAATTCGATATAACATTAAGAATCGTATAACCCTTATATCTTTTCATAATAGTATGTTCCCAAAGTATCAGATATCGTTGACTAAAACTGGTTTATTGTCTTGTTCTTTCCTATCTTTAGGTAGAATAAATCATGCAACTGCATGGACAGAAATTAGGCTAAAAATTGCCAGTACGAAATGAAATTTAATATGTATCGTGAAAATTACATTATCGTGTAATAAAGGACATATCGAAGTCATTCACTGAAAATGAAAAGGTGGAACAATTGAATTCGCTCGAGCCTTACCTCATCAAATATAGCTTCAATAGTGTAAAATATTAATATTGTAAAATTAAAATGCAGATGTATCCGGCCTTTGCTGTAGCAATATGAAGTGGTAGGTTCATACATTCATTCGTTTAACTCACTCTTTGACGGCGGCCATTCTTATTCAAATCAATGATACCCCAATTGGCCTTATCAAGTTTGACTCAGTGAACAGGTTCATTGACAGGATTCTAAGGAGAATATGATTGATGATTTCGAACTCGTTTTGGCTTGGAAGATACATTTTGGCTTCAGACAGCAACTATTCCCCGTATGGAAATCGAGAACTGTTGTCAAGCGAAACACTGATCGGATTTGGACAACAAAATTTGAGAGCTTACATTCCAAATTAACGATGTTCCTACGGTCTTCAAAACTTGTCATCTAAGTCTCTAGTTGTAACTGACGTAAAACTAGGTCACCCCCACCATTACCAGTTCAACCCCAAATCATTCAACGTTTTTTATTTAAATATTCACACTGAAACACTGGACACACAAGTGCGAAGATAAAATTATGAAAAAGTTTTTTCCAGAGTTATAACCGATGAACAGAGATGAAACTGTTTACCAAATTAAGTCGAGAAACTTTCCCCGTGAGCTTCTAAGTCGATAGAAACGTGCAACAATAAATTGTCTGCCAAGAGTGATTTTATATAATGTTTGTTCAGCGCGAAGCTAAAAGATATGGTGAGATAATTAGTTCTGAAAAATGTTCTGCGAACGAAGGCACAAAATTGTGTCAAACCCGTTAGATAAGTTAAGACTGGAGTAATGTGGTACTGAGCTTTGCATTATTCGTGCCTTTGTCGTGCGTTTTTAACACGGCTAGGAATTTGCATGTTGATCGAACCTTGTTATGGTTTCGCTGTAAAAATTGCATGTTGGTCTCAAAAATATCATGATTAGGACAGGAAATGAATATTTATGTGGAAGGGGGGCGAACTTGCAATGGCGCGAATTCTCTTGTTGGCTATGAGACTCAATTTTGATGTATCCCTGACTAGTGGGTTGTCATGTCGTTGCTTCAGTTCGGGTATTTTAAATCTGCTCTCCTTCTTAAGATTCCGTGATGCACTGATGACGCCCTCGGGCAAACTTTTTTATCTTTACATCTTTTAAAGAATCAAGACGTGTGAGCCACTCCGTCTCATGTTTGATAATCGTCTTGTATAAGAAAAAAGATTTAGACAATCAAATTATTTAAGAGATGGTTGAATATAGGATATTTGTTCCAAATTGAATTTTCTATCATGAAACTAGAATCGAAGCCTGATGAAAGCAAACGACAATCAAGCTTGTAATTTCTTTTTTTCATTAAAAATTTCGTGAGAAATTTCGCGAAGTTTTCTCACGAGATATCCCTTAAGTTCGCCCATGATGCTTAATATCGATCGCAAACCGTTGCTACCGAAATCAGAGACAGTTTACGAGCCTTCGGTGGCTAAAACAAAACAATTTCGTAGACCTTCGCCGGCAATCTCCCGTGTTTTTTTTTATTGGAATACTTGGATTTAGCCTAGTTTTACAGTAAAACCAAATCAAAGTCTTGAAACACGTTTGGAGTTGATAAGCGATAAATTTAAATGCATTTTGAATGCGTTTGCATCCAGATTTCAATGACGCTCGTGTATTTAAGCACCAACGTCGTAGTTTGTTTTCAGGGAGAGGGGATGTCCTTCGACGACTAATAAAATGAGTAGGTACCTGCGCGTCCGTGGTCAGCACTGAAATCAAAATGCCCACAAATTACGAGAAATACTTTGATCATTTCATGTATCTTACGACTAGCTGCTAAATACTTATTGGCGAATTTATCTCCATCACTTCGCTGCACCAACCTTGTAATTTGTTGACAGGAAGGTAGTGTAGAAGTCAAGAGTGGCAAGTCTTGAGTCTAAAACCTTTGAGGACGCTGAGTCTGGTGGATGCAAAACCTGCGAAATGGTGTCGCTGCTGGCCACCAGAGTCTGAGCGAAAGAAACAAATTACGAGAGACAAACAATGATATTGGCAAGTAAGATGCAATGTTTAAAAGTTTTTTGTCTATTAACGATGATGATAACCAAGAAAGGGAAGCAATTAAGGCACGAGGATTCTTCGTCATTATGTGAAGGAAACGGTGAATTGTGTTTGCTCGGAAGTTGTGTTTGTCGGTTTTGAAACATTTCAATGCAGCGCTAGTTTTTAGCCATTCTATTCGTTTTATGATAAACACTGAAGCAATCATATCTCTGGTCACATCTAGACAGCGGTCAAACATAAGGCATGTGCGAATAGATCAATTTTGGTAGCCCACGGGCTAATTTTCAGCTTAAAAAAATTTGAAAGGAAACAACAAAAAATCGCTGTCTCGCAAAATAAGCCAAAGGAAAGTGAAGCGTTCATAGAAATCTGTCACAAGAAATTGAATCACATCTCATAAATATGACCACCTATTTGCCTGCTGCTCCACAATGTCTCCTGCACTAGATCAGATGAAATATTCGTCAGACTTGCGGCCTTGGGTTGCACCTGTCATAAGAAAAGTGAGGAACACAGCCACCTGTTCTGGCGTCGATAATAGTCCAAATCGGAAAAACTTCTTCAAGACAAAGAAAACGAGCGATCACTTCAGCGAACATTTGGAAGGGCTGTTAAACAAGATGATATAAATTTAGAGAACTTATCCTCCATACATACCCCTATTCCAATGATAGTTTTTAAATCTAGTTTTAGTCAGCGTTCTTGCGGTACAACTATTTTGTGAAAAAGCGCTGATTAGTTTGTGATTCTGCGATGAGATTTGATGTGTGATGTTAAGCGGTCTGTGGTTTGTGTTATTGAATGGACGAACTAAATATCTTCAAGAGCCGGAATATAAACTGCTGTTAAGGCATTACTTTTAATGTGATATATATTTATAATGGCAGGTTTCAAGGCTATCCTTTTTTACCTTGTACAGAATGCAGTTATAAGCGAAGAATTTAGCAAAACTCTTAATCCGAAAACCGGGCTAATTTCAGTTGTTAACAGACTACCAGCCGGGTTGTACCTGACAACACCGGTGGTCTCAGTAATGTAAATTCTACCCACGGATGAGTCAAGAACGACCGCAGAGGTACAAATGAGCAGGATTGAGTGAGTAACTGCCTACATGTGCGTTGCCACAAATCGATTACGAACTGTGGGGGCAGTGTTAAGGTTCCAACGAATTTTTTTTGTTCAAACAAATTATTTATGCAACATCTAAGGAAAACTGTACAGGAATATATGTTTGGCTTTGGAGCCTCCCCTCTATTCTCTTTGTGGAACTAATGGCACTTAATTAACCTTGAAAAAGATAACATACTTCTGAATTTCAGGACGTTATCCATGACATACCTATTGCACTGATGAATGAATTATTAGTACTTGTGGTAGAAGTTGGTGGATGTTAATTTGGAGGTCTAAGATATTTAGCTTGAGTAGCGGGTTTCGGTTCTCAAGGTGTTAACATATCTGATCGGAAGTAGAGATTTACTGATTTCAAGCACTCATCTTTGTATCTAACTGATTATCCTTTATTCTTGATTACGGTACTTGAAAACGTAAAAACTGAAAGTCAATTTACGGCATAACATACTATTAGGAGCAGTTAGAAACTATACATAGCATGAGCTATTGTGCGATCACTCGTACATATAGGGCGTACACCATAATACTACTTAGAATTAATTAACGCAATAACCGAGATAACAAACATAATCCGAAAACATGCGAATAGAAATTACGAAAGCGAAATCATACCTCTTTTCTCCGATAGAATTCTTCTTATTTTACGGCCTCAAATCTTGTAGCTTTGATCTTAATCGACTGTGTCCGAGGACAACTGGCATTCTCTCTAATTTCATTGAAGTTATGACACTTAACTCAAAACGGAAGTTACGTAGTCGACGATTGTGGAATCATAGCTAATCATTACAGCTCGTCTGAAATATAAAAGTATAATCTTTGGATCTGATTGCTTTTGTCGCAGTGCAGTATAACGCAACGAAACTTTCACGCCTTGGTTATTTGGAGTTAGTTTTAGGATCAAGTTACAAACAAGATTACAAAATATTGCAGTTTTGCAAGAAATTAAAAAAGATAGGATAATGAAAATATCTGATGAAAGGATGAGATTTGACGACATTGGCTCAGCACCGAATAACTCCCTTTAAGTTCTCTTTCGAAAGCTCTATCCTCTCTCTCCAAAAATTGAAAAGATGAAAGAAGAGACAACCAAATCCACGGCTACAACACGAGGTACGCAGATTCCTCTACATAGTTCACCATATGGGGAACACCTGAGTAGTAACTCAGTTTCGTCTTCCGTAATAGGTCCAAAGTTTTTCAACCACCCCTACTCCTGAGACTGCACGGTTTTCATCCATGGAACTTATGCAAAATCAATAATCACTATTTCCCAGCGTGATTCAACGAAATCTCGGCAACTTGGATACCGAGGCAACTCAGTCGTAGGTGATTTCGGATTGTAGCACGTTAGTAGATAGAAAACCATCGCAAATAGCTTCTTATAAATACAACTCATTCAAGTACCAAAAAACTAACTTATGAGGCTAAGAGATTTTAAACTGTCCCACTCCCAAGACTGACCAAAGAAGAATTTTTTTTAACATTTCCGAGAAGGGCGATGAAAAAAAGGTAGAGATAGTGTTCGTTTTAACAACAAATCAGTCTCAGTTTAAGAATTATAAGAAATGCCTGGTAGATAATGCAGATATGATTTGGTTTAATCAAATGAGTGGAAAATGTTGATTGGCCACCGAGAAGAGTTTCTAAAGCTGACGTTTGGAGTGTTAGC